TTTTTATTTTGCTTCCTTACGATATGCTTTCACGATGATGAGTGCAAATGCAAAGGAAAGTAAAAGAGAGGCCCCTCGTTGCAGGATAAAGAGATGTAGATTTCTACATTTAAATTTTGTTTTCACAACAAAGATATACAGATTTGTTAAATGTGTAGGGTTAAGTAAAAATCATATTAATAAGTGATGACAGTTATCTTTTAAAAACTTGTACAAATCTTATAAAACAACCTCTTCAGGCAGACAATCTATTAGACTCTTTACAAATCTATACACAATGTCTAGATGCATTTCTATCAACAACTATTAGCTTCATCACATATTTTCGCTGACCAATGATGTACTACCAATGTATGATTCTCCAAGGGAAATGCTGCATGGAGCAGCATTCTATACACTAGAGTCCATGTCTGCATTTAGGAAACAATTCCCAATTGAGAATTACCCATGTGTGGCATGTACAAGGAATCAAATTTTGTTTCTGATTTGCTTAGGCATAGGACACTTTTAAATCTTGAGCAGAGTAAGTGATGAGAACTGCACCCAGTCCCAACGGGTGCTCCAGAGCAGGACCAGCAATCCCAGTACAATAATCCAAGAGGAAAAAACTCACAGGCACTCCAACTTCAAGCCGCAGGCAGATTTATTATGACAGAATGCAACGCAACGTTTCGACCGGAAAGGTCTTTTTCAAGCTTGAAAAAGACCTTTCCGGTCGAAACGTTGCGTTGCATTCTGTCATAATAAATCTGCCTGCGGCTTGAAGTTGGAGTGCCTGTGAGTTTTTTCCTCTTGGACTTTTAAATCTTGAACCGTTGGATGTGGTATTGGCTCTAAAATGGTTTAATCTCTATACAATAAAATGAAATAATAGAATAGTGCTTATGCTAAATCTCTAATTAACCCCTTAAGGACACTTGACGGAAATATTCTGTCATGATTCCCTTTTATTCCAGAAGTTGTGTCCTTAAGGGGTTAAAGGGATTCTATAGTGTGAGGAATATCCCCCTCAGGTACTGCAAGAGTTAAAAAACCTTTATAACACTTACTCTATCCAATGACAATCTCCCTCTGCGCTGGGTCGTTGCTCCGCCTCCTTCGATGTCATCTGACAGGGGGACTAATGTGCATGCGTGGCGAGCACCACAGGCTCATTAGGCCCTCCCGATAGGAAAGCATTGCATCAAAGTTTTCCTATGGGGATTTAACTGATGCTGGATGTCCTCATGCAGAGCGTGAACCACCAGGAAGTGCCTCTAGTGGCTGTCTGATTTAAACATTTAAATGAAGAAATGACTATAACATCATTAAGATGCTAAACAGCAGTTTAAAATATTATTGAAGGGAAAGATTTGTGTTTTCCATTCCCTTCTTCTGTTTGCATATGTACAAGTTGCTATATTATAAATATAAAAAACCCCATATCCTGTTTGGATATAAATATATTTTCCCCCAACCTTATAGGCCTGTTTTGGATATGGGAGATTGTTGTTTTACATCTCCCATGACCTATCTTATTTTTGTATATACTTATTTTTATTTTTTTAAATAATTTACTTTTTACCTTTTTCCAATCCTTTTTTTTTCTCTATCAAGAATTTATTGAACATGTGAAGTGCTTTTATTGTCTTTTACAGAGTGCATGTTTGACAAAAATGTGACAAAAGAACATTTTATGTCTGCTACTTGTTTTACAGGGATATGTGAAATCTAATATGGCTCTGTTTCTTGTAGAGAAAATAGTATTTGAGTCGACTCCCATGTGCAGTGTGTTTGGAACCTCTCTTATCTTGTAAGTTCTATCTGTGTTCATACAATACAGCATTATTATATATTAGAGATGGTTTTCAAATGTTTTTCATTTCATGTACAACTTGAACGTAATGCACAAGAAGGGATTGTTATAAAAGGAGGCTAGAGCTCATAATGCTGATATTGCTTGCATTCAGAAGACACATTTTAATTTATCTTATTTATTTATTGCAATTTCCTGTCCTAATGTGTTTTACACCCCACCTCCTATAGACTGTAAGCTCGTTTGAGCAGGGTCCTCTTCAACCTATCGTTTCTGTAAGTTTTCTTGTATTTGTCCTATTTATAGTTAAATCCCCTCTCTAATAATATTGTAAAGCGCTACAGAATCTGTTGGTGCTATATAAATGGCAATAATAATCCTGTGTCTTACATACTATGGTCAAACAATACCCTATCCAATTTCATTCAAGAGACACTATAGGCACCCAGACTACTTCATCTGATTGAGGTGGTCTGGTTTGTGTCCCTGTTTCCCTTTGTTATTATATTCCTAAAACTATCTTTTTCCCTTTCATAAGTGAAAGTCTAAAGGTGTGTTTTGTTTTGTTTTTACAAAAAATGTGGCTGTTTCATCAGATTTTATTATTAATGATAAAAATGGAAAATATTTGACCTGGATAGGGAAGGTTAACAATTGTAATACACAATTGCAAATTCCCAATTCAGGCAAATTTAAATATTTAAAACAAATAATGAAAAAAAAAAATTCAAATATGTGTAAGGCAAAGCTTATTATATGTGATGATAATTTTGTTTTAGATTTATAATTTAGATACAACTAGAAAAAAACTAAGGTTATACCTATGTTCTCAATATTTTTTTACTTATGATTACTTAATATTGGATGGAGAGAAAAAGCTTTTGGTGGAAAATGCTTTAAAAAAATTTCAAGTTGCAGTTCTGTGTGGGGTTGAGATGCCTTTTTCCTTCAAAGGATGAATTTTATTGAAAAAAAAAAGAAACTAATCCCACATTTTTTATTCTTTGTAAAAGGAATTGTACAGTCTTAAGCAAATAAAGTTGGTCACTTGTGCATCAGTATCAGCTATGATAACTGAGATTAAAAACAACAGTAATATTATTTATTATTTAATTGGAGCACACAACTTTGGTTTGAGACAATTAAAGCACATATTTTTTTCTAAATGCAACAACGCCTCTTTTCTGTTAGAGAAATTTTAGAGGTCATTTAAAGAACATCTACTGGTAAAGCACCAGAGCCAGACTGTTTTACTCTACAATCTAACAAAACATTTATTATTGGACTAAAAGAGTGGTGCCAGAGGAGACCTTGAAGCTAGCATTGCCACTTTACCAAAGTTTGGAAAAACACTGGATAGATGGTCTAATTTTCACCCAGTATCCTTAATGAACAATGACATTAATTAAATTGTATGCCAAAGTATTGGCTAATAGATTGGCTTCATTTATCCTTCAATTGTCAATAATGTTTAAGTAGGCTTTATTATGGACTGACACATACCATATGGCATCAGATGGTTTAATAAAGCAGCATGTCATGCCAAACTTACCTTTCTCCTATTGTTTTGTCTTCTCTTCCTCTCTCAGAATCTGTTCTTCTTTTCTTTATTTCCGATCTAGTTTTCTTTAAGACATAAGGCAAACATAGGGACTACTTTGTCTTATGTATTTTTCCTACGTTTGACTTTCTTTGACCAAAGAAGGAGCTTAAAGGACCACTATAGTCCCAGGAAAACATACTCTCTGGGGAGAGGAAAGGGTTCAAACTTACCTTTTCTCCAGCGCCGGGCGGGGAGCTCTCCGCCTCCGATCCTCCACCTCTCCTCCCTTTCGGCTGAATGCGCACGCGCGGCAAGAGCTGCACGCGCATTCAGCCGGTCTCATAGGAAAGCATTTATAATGCTTTCCTATGGACGCTTGCGTGTTCTCACTGTGATTTTCACAGTGAGAATCACGCAAGCGCCTCTAGCGGCCGTCAGTGAGACAGCCACTAGAGGCTTTGAGGGCTGGATTAACCCATTTATAAACATAGCAGTTTCTCTGAAACTGCTATGTTTATAAAAAAAGGGTTAATCCTAGAGGGACCTGGCACCCAGACCACTTCATTAAGCTGAAGTGGTCTGGGTGCCTAGAGTGGTCCTTTAAGTCAGCTCCTACTTTCCAAAGAAAGTAGTCACCTGACTTAAGCTCATCCTTTGGTCAAAGAAAGTCAAGTGTAGAAAAAATACCTAAGACAAAATAGTCCCTCTGTTTGTCTTATGTTTTAAAGAAAACTACATACAAGAGATTCTGAAAGAGAAGAGGATAGAATAGGAGGAAGGTATGTTTGGCATGACAGTGCCACTTTAATTTGATCCATCAAATTAAAACTGAATGGACACATTCTTTGCTCCTATCTTTGGATGCTGAGAAGGCATTTGATAGAATACACGGGGTTATCTCAGGATGACCCCAGTAGGTGATGATCAGGATGAACTTATCTTATACTTTTAGTAATTCAAATTTCCCACTGTATTGCAAACCAACTGCTGAAGTTTATGCCTCATGTTATGTCTGATAACTTGTTTTGAACTTGAAGCTTGACAAAGACCTCGTAGCAGGTCAAAATGTTGCCTCTCTTTTTTGACCTAATAAATCTGCCAATGGGGGGCGGAGCCTGACCACAAGCAGGAGCGGACGCAACCCAGCATCGCTCCCGACCTAAACCCGCATTAAAGCCTGTTATTTGAGGCTCAAAACCGTCGAATACTCACTCCTGACCAGGGGCACAAGTTGAACACAGCCAAGTTACCCCCCATGCCGTTTGTGTGCCTGGCACGGGCGAATGAGTGGAAACGCAGATCCGCAGCCTACAAACCCACAGCAGCCCTCGACAGCACTGCTGGGCAGATTTGAACCACCAGAGGATCCAGAGGTGGAAGACTTCCACGCAGGTCATATACCGACCCCGGTGACAATGGGCCGTCGATCTCAAAAACCGCTGCCGTAATCACCCTCAGGGTCCAGGGACATAGGTGCCATGCTGCAACAACAACAACCACCGCCAAAAATGGTGGGAACAGTGGAGCATGAAGTCGCCAAGGTACCTATAGACCCTATACAGTCTGACTTACCTCTAGAACGGGCACATACAACCAAGGGTAATCCGGATGGGTCAACCCCAGTCACCCAGCGAGACTTTCACAACCTGGCAACGAGTGTAGCGGCCATTAAAGTGGACGTACAAGCTATCACAGACAGGGTGCAATCCACGGAGGATGATATCTCAGGCATCAAGCAGGAACTGACAACCCTACAGGAATCTGTGTAGGCCTTACAAGCCCAAAAACAAGCACTCTCCCTACACTACATAGCCTTTGACGACAGGACAAGGCGAAACCACATAGATCAGGGGAGTGCCAGACGCCATCACTCCTGATGAACTGCCTCACTACATGAGGTGCCTCGTGGCCTCCATTCTGCCAACAACGCATGCCAAAAAAAACATAGACAGGATATACTGCCTACCACCCTCAGGCAGAACAGCCCCAACTATGATCAGAGATGTGATTGTACGCTGTGCCACCTCCCAGGACAAGAGACTCCTGATGACAGCTACTTGAGACAAGATGCCGCTCACATTTGAGGGAGCGCAACTCACCATCTACCAAGACCTCACCAGAATCACGCTACAAAGGCGCAGATCGTTGAACCCAGTTACCAGCAACTCACCATCTACCAAGACCTCACCAGAATCACGCTACAAAGGCGCAGATCGTTGAACCCAGTTACCAGCACCCACAGAGAAGCAGGGCTAGAATAACAGATTTTTGGTGGTCACGCATAAAGGAACAGTGCATAAACTCTCCATGCTAACTGAGTTCCCGACACTTTGTAAGGCCTTGGGCCTCCCCAACCCAAGCAGGATACTTACCAACGACCTGCTCCAGACGCCTGACATCAATGGGAGCTGACACCGCAACAGTAACCTGTACATGCTCTGTTTAGTTAAAAAATTGCGCTCTATCTGCCTGAACTGCGCTGAGCCATACACAGTCCACTTGTTTCAATTCCAGATGGCCTGCTCTGCTGACCCATTACCAGCCTACACTCCCTCCCCCTCCTGAGGCCCTCCTAGGCTAAGTGTGCATTTAGAAGAAGGCCATAATCCCACAACCTGAACGGGTTGCACTTAAGCCCACCTATACCGCACAGCCATTCTCCCAGAGCAATTTATCCACACCTGACACTATATCAACGTTGGTCCATAACTTTTGTGATGCATACCTGTTTTTATTATGATACACCTTGTTTTGCAACATTTGTACGCTGTTATGTATAATTTACGTGGCTAGCAATGGTAGAGTAAAAAACAAAATATTTCAATAAAAAGAGATTGACAAAAAATTCTGCAAATGGTTTGAACACTTGAGTGCCTGGAGGCCATTTTTCTGGTTTCCTGAGCATTGTGGGACTACTGGTTCTGCTCCAGTGCACCTGGTGTCGACTGGAATTAAGTGCGGCTCCATTCTTCATTCTGATAATTTTTAACTGTCAAATGGTACCAGACAGGGGTACCTGCTGTCACCACTACTGTTTATTTTGGCCATTAAGCCCCTGGCTGAAACCATAAGAAAAACACAAGAAATTGAAGGAAGCACGATGAGATAATGTTCATAAAGTTAGACTATTTGCTGAAGGTGTAATTTTTTTTTTTTTTATTTCTTTATTTTTGTGTGCAGCATAGTATAAACAGGCTTGCAAAGCCCCAACAGCCATGACAAGCATTTGATGTCATACACGTTGTAGCAGTGCTGTGGGAGATATTTACATGCACATTTTTTAATTATAAAAACATTCTCAAGTACTTAAAGACAGTCTAAATTCAACTAACATTTCTATATGACAGTAGAAAAAACAAACAATATAATAGGTTCGAGCCATACTTTGGGGGCATGTAGTCCTGCTGTCTGGTGGGAAAATGGTGGTAAATCTTAGGTGTGTAGCTCGGGATGGCAGTTCGTGGCCTGTACTAAAATTAAACCTCCAGCGCTTTGTTGTGATCGACCTCTTGGGTCTATGGTATCGGAGAAGGGGGTGGGGAAGCGATGTAAGAGCCTGGCTTATGGCCAGGTTAAGCGTTTGTGTATCTGACCTGCACCCACCCACAGTCACTACCCCCCATCCACTTGCGGTGTCTCAATTGTCCCAATAAACACATTTGAAGATACTTGGAGTACCTGGATCCTGTTTTGACTACTGATAACTAGCCCCCACCTACACCCTGTCACTACCCCATTTAGACACTGTCACTACCCCACCCACACACAGTCAGTCACCATAGCCATGCAGTGTCAGCTCCCTCTAGACACTGTCACTACCCCCGCACACACTGTCACCTTTCACACCTGCCACATTAACCCCTCCTGATCCTGTCACACTCGCCCCTCCAACCATGCTGCACTTGCCTCACCTCGCTCTGCCAAACTCACATTAACTCCCCTAATCCTGTCACACTTGCCTTTTCTCGCATTGTCACATTCACCTCCCAGCCCTGTTACATTAAGCCCTCCGATACTGTCACTTTCATCCACGCACCATTCAACACTCACCCTATCACATAAACCCCCTAATTCTGTGATACTTACCTCCCCTCACCATATACCACTCCCTTCTCCAACCATGACACCCTCACCCTCCGTCACTCTGTTACACTCAGGTAGGGGAGAGCCAGGGAAGTGATTATAGTCTTTTTACTAGTGTATAACAGAGTCCTGCACCAGTTATTATAAATTTGCGGGCTCCCACACGGCTCCCCCCTCAACCATTAGTCCGACAGACAGGTTGGGGATGTCTGGGGTGCTCTAGGTCACTTCTCTAGTTCAGTCTGGTGAGATAACCCATCAGCATTGTTGTTCTATTTGCTGGGGCTGCAGTAAATAGTAAAATCAAACGGTTAGAGTACTAGACTCCATCTCAATAGTCTGGTATTGTTCCCCACCACCCGATTCAGCCACACTAATGGGCTGTGATCCGTGAAGAAGGAAAATTGTTGTACATGCTTTTTAAGAGCCCACTGTAATAACTTGGTTTGTGTTTACTAAGTTGATTGAAATAAGTCTTTTATGTATATATATTCTTTGATTAAAGGTCTGCCAGGTTAATATACATCTATATTAACCAAAAAGTACTAATACGCAATCTGACGTTCTTTATAAAAAAAAAAGGCATTTATTCTACTTCAAAAGTAAACAATAATATACTTAACAGACGGTATTTCTTAACAACGTTACAGAGAGTGAGAGATCTTTTTAAGTAGTCGTCTTTGTATCATCAATTTATTACACACCAGGAGAGAGAAGAGTGGGAGAAGAGAAGGTGGTCCTTTGTTCTTTATAGGCAAAATTACGTCATAACTTTTAATTTAAACACTGGCCATATAAGGACCCTACTACCGATCTCACTATACAGCACATGCCAAAGCCCTCAGAATAGCAAACTACCATCTGTTGGCGGTATAGTTCACTTCTCTGTGTAGTAGTTTCCGACTCAGGTACGCCATGGGATGTTCTTCGTCCTCAACCTGGGTCAGTACTGCGCCCAATCCAAAAATAGATGCTTCTGTGTGGAAAAGAAAGCTTTTAGTTGGATTGGCAGCTGCCAGGACAGGTGCCTTAACAAGTGCTGTGTTAGATTTTGGCCTGCTTACACTCCAGGATCCAGACTATTATCAGGGAAGATTTTGTTGGGTCAGGTCGCTGAGGGGCTTAGCCAAGGCACTATAATTGGTGACAAATTTTAAAGAATAACCATCCCTAGGAAGGCCATAACAGGAGTCTTCATGCAGGGGGTTGGACAATTCGCTAATGCCTCTATCTTGGCAGTCTCCAGTCTCTGCTTCCCGCAACCCACCTGGTATCATGATCTTGTGCAGGTCAGGGATGAGACTGAAACCTGGGTTAAGTTCAGGGTCTTTATTTGCTATCTTCGACATTCTAGTAATAACAGGATATCCTATTATTGTAGTTAAAGGGATGAAAGATAGTGAACAGAACATCTAAATATACAGGGAATTAAGTAGCCTAAGAAATAAAGGATTTAGACAACAAGCCCAAAGTGGAAATAGGGCAAACCTATAAAAGAAGTTATAGGAAGGATAATTGAAGATAAACCTATAAGAGAGATTATAGGTACAATATATAGGGATAATAGAAAACAGGATTTAGGCAATATGCCCCAGAACAGGATATAAGAAAACAACTAAACAGAACTAGATGGAAATAATATGAATACTTAAATAGGGTTGTAGTTGTTCAGTCTCTTTGGATAAGAGGTTATACTGTAGTAGCAGGTCCTTCTTGATAGATGCAAATATAGTTTGGAATATAAGTAAATCCGATGTAGGAGTAAATAGATAGCCACAATGTACATAAAAATCCAGTGTTGTTTTAAACAAGTTGGATGTTAAGCAGGAATATTGGGAGATTAGGTTGGTTTGCTACAGGTTTGTAGATAAGGCAGGAATTAAGATTTGTACAGGTAAATTTAGAGCAGGTTGGTGAGTAGCAGGTTATGAAGCCAATAAGGAAAATCCACAGGTTAATTCAGGAGCCAGAATATAAAGTATTTTCAGGCAATCATCAACTTCAATGTCAAGGCAAAGTGGTGAGTTGGGCGTTACCTTTTGTAGGAACAAAAATTAGTCCAGGCAGGTGAGCATGATAAGGTGAGTTGTCAAACTAGAGGCAAGGGAGGCCACTAGTGGTAAATCAAAATCAATGTAGAAACTTGTTTTTTTAAAGGAACAGGATATATAGAACAAAAGTCTTGCTTGTAAGGACAGGATCCTGACACTAGGTGACCCAGATACTAAACCTCTGCCATTCCTATGCAGCACTTGCTGGCCTTGGGGATAAGCCGGCACTCTTAATCTTGTTCAGGAAAGCCCCTAAATGTTCTAGGTATTCTTCCCAGGTGGCACTGAAAATCGCAATGTCGTCCAGGTATGCGCAAGCATAGTCCTGGAAGCCATCCACTGGAGGGTGGCTGGGGTGTTCTTCAAACTGACTCTAAACTGGTACCGGCTGACACTGGAGAAGATAGCTCTCTTAGCCGTGAGCAGTTGCTTACCCTAACCCGTCTCCCAGTCTCCCATCATTAGTGATAGCTGGGGGGGGGGGAGGGGGAGAAAGGCTATGCAATGGAGGATCCTTTGGTCTTTCAGGATCTCCCATAGACCTCCGTGTTCTCGCACATGCAAAAGAGTACAAAGCTGCCATCAGTTCCTGGTAGCTGAAGCACCAGGAGCTAAAGAGGACCGACAGGAAGATCATGGTGGCCACTACGAGAGAAAGATTTAGGTGCATTTCCCCTGCAGCCCGCTGCCACCGTAACCCAGCCCCAAAGTCAATGTCGGGGGTCTTGGCAAATTATACGAAGACCCCAGACAGTGACAGAACTGCTTTAATATGCACATTCAGTTTCCTTTTACTTGAGTACTTCACTGTAAAACCTCAGAGTTAAATTTGTTTAAAAAAAAGAAAACTATTTATTTTAAACATTGTGCATGCATGTTCATATTACGTAATATTTTAGATGAATTTTCTTGGTAATTCCGCTGAAGCAAGCTATGTTAGATGAATATTTTAAATTAACAGACCAAGCAAAAAAGGTGTTGTGAAAACTGTTAACACCATGCTTAGCTAGTTTTTCTGTTTGTAACACAATTGCTGTTGCATTACTTTCAGACTGCAACTGCCAAGTAACATAAGTGGTACTCTTATTCACCAATTAAACTGCAGATGGATCACTGGACATGATTGATTTCTCTATTAGTTAACCATCAGGAAACCAGTATATTTTCACTGCTTTCAGAACATAGACTATTGCATCTGAATGATGATTAATGCCAGAATGTATTTGCAAGTCAGCAAGTGAGCATTAGTTTATTTTCTTGATACATTAGTTAAATGGCTATTGCATATGGGCATTTTTGTAATTAATAGGGATGACAGTATTTGTTAGTAGCCAACAGTTTCAATGCCAAGTCATTAAAGAGAGATAGGGCATCCAGATAGAAACTAATAGGCGCTGGTAGCAGACTGGTGATTATAGCAGTGCAGAGTGAAAAGTAGACATGTGCAATTCGTTTTGGTCCGAATAAAAATTCGGATGAACTGCGGCAATTCGGACATTCAGAGTCTTCCGAATGTCCGAATTTTGGAAGTGCCGAACCGTGCCGCATTGCCGAAGTCCCGAATTGCCGAATTTCGGAAATGCCGAACTGAACCGAAGTGCTAAATTTCGGAAGTGCCGAAGTGCTTCAGATTTCTGAAAAGTGGCAAAACAGGAGAGGGAGGAAAAATTAAGGGAATGATGACAGGAATCTAACCCTAACCCTAATATCCCTAATCTAACCCATAACCCTACCCCTAACCCTAGTAAGGTTAGGTTTGGGGTTAGGGGTAGGATTATGGAATCGCCGAACTCCTGAAGTACCGAATTCCCAAATTTCGGAAGTGCCGAACCGAACCAAAGTGCCGAAGAGGCTTGGCTGAGTATGATTGTGTTTGTCGGCTGAGTGTTATAAGTATAAGTATAAGTGGAATTGGCAAAGTGTGATTGTGTGTATGTGTATGGCTGGCTGAGGGTGATTCTATATGGCGTTTGTCTGACTTACCGTTTCCCATAAATATAACTTTCCAATAGTTATAATATATCTGAAACAAATAAAGAATTATTTCTAACGCATCCCTCTTTCAAAAGCATCAAAGACTAGTTATGCTTGTATTACTTGTTTAGTAACTTTTTTCCTTACCATAAACCTATACATTTTTCCTTTTGTCTTCTTAAAGTTTGAATGTATTAAGTTCTCTAGGAATTTTTAGTTGACAGGACTTTCTAAATTGTATTGTCATATTACTGTTCCTAAACTTGTTTGATATGTATATTATGCTGTTATATGTATAATACAATTAGCAAATGTTAAAATAAATTGTGAAAATACTCCTTAACAATTTCCTGTTCAATGTGTTTCTAATTAGTGTCAATTATGTTTGGTTAAAAGCTTGTGCTACATTTATGTATGTACTATAATGAATAAAGATAAAATTCTGCAGTTAAGAATATTTTACACCCATAGTGTAATGTGAACTAATTATACATTTCAGGCAAGAAGTTTGGATCTAGCTGTCAATGAGAAATTCTGCATCTATTTTTCACTCTGGCTCTACAATGCATCAAAAGTACAAATAAGTAATGGAATGGAAGCTTCCTCCACTTCCAGGAGTTCCATGTGCCTTGTGCCATGTGCCTTGTGTGCCATGCTACCAGATCATTTGCTCCAGTACCTCAAATTTCCAAGAAACACTATATATTATTTAGAGAAGCGTGGAAATCTCCAACTCAGAGATTACATGCCTTCTCTGCTATGGACTTGAAAGGGCCTTTACAGCCATGACTCCAGGTCCTGTGGATACTTGTCAAGGTTTGTTGTGAATTTGTGTTCACATTATGCTGTTTGTAAATGAGCATCGGTTGAAATATA